TAGCTGTAAATAATCAAGCTTACACAGAAATTCAGTATCATCCAAATCAGCAAGCAATTAAAGCCAAGCTGATAGGGTGAATTTCTTACTCTAAACAGAGCCAAAAGGAAGGAGCGATACCCAGTCTGCACCAGTCTCCAAAGCCAATTTAGTTAAGGTCTCTTTTAGAGTCCGATTCATTCTTTCTATCTGCCCTGAACTCTGGGGTCCAATCCATCCCCAGTGCCATGGCTATTCCCTGACTTACTTTTGAGATGAAGGCCAGTCCATTGTCCGACCTGATGGTGTATGGGAAGCCATACCTGGGTAGGATTTCTTCCAGGATCTTCTTAGCCACGACATTCGCGGTCTCATGCTTTGTGGGGTGTCTACAAAAACTAACAAATATTTATATCCAAATTTTCCAGTTTTAATTTCTGTGAAGTCTACTTCCCAATACACACCTGGCCTATCTCCACGGAGGTGAGCACCTTTTGTAACTGGTTGATTGGGGGCATTGGTGAGCTGACAGGCTTTACAATTTTTAACAATGTCCTCAATGTGTTTATTTCCTTGCCTAATTTTTACTTTGAGTGTTGGAGCAAGTCCTGCATTCTTCGGGTTCCCATGTGAGAGACCCGATAGATTCTCTTAAGAATCCCCTTGTCCAGTCTTTGTGGCAAGATAAGTTTCTCCTCACCAGTCTTCCACCAGTCTTTATTTCCTTCTCTGTCTGGGGGTTTATAGGTCATGGGAATTTTCTTGATCCACGCCAAGTCTTCTTGGGAGTACTGAGGCTCAGGAGGCAAAGCTCATGGCCCTGGGTCTACTGGAGTCAGTACTTCCGCTCTGGGCTGGAGGGCCGCCTCCTTAGCTGCCTGATTGGCCAAGTTATTTACCTTTTGATGGCCAGGGCAGTTCATAATGGCAATATTTGCTGGTTCCTATAAGGCCCAGATGAGGCTTAAAATTTCTTTTCTTTTTTTTTTTGGTTTTTGTTTTTTTGAGTCCAGTCGTGGGGCCTGAACTCGGTCTGGGCGCTGTCCCTCAGCTCTTCAGCTCAAGGCTAGTGCTCTACCACTTGAGCCACAGCACCACTTCCAGCTTTTTTCTTTTTTGCTTATGTGGTGCTAAGGAATTGAACCCAGGGCCTCATGCATGCAAGGCAAGCGCTCTACCACTGAGCCACCTTCCCAGCCCCCTCTTGTTTGTTTTTAATAGTCTTTCCCTCAGCTGTCAGTAGCCCCCTCTCTTGGTAAATGGCTCCATGGATATGCACGGTGGCAAAAGCATAGCGACTGTCTGTGTAAATGTTTAGTTTCTTCCCTTTTCCCATCTGTAGGGCTTTTATTAGTGCCACTAGTTCTGCTCTTTGTGCAGACGTTCCCTGGGGGAGTGCTTCTGCCCACACTATCTCAGTGTCCATGGTGACTGCTGCGCCCGCGTACCTTTTTCCATCTCGAATGAAACTGCTGCCGTCTGTGAACCAGGTATGCTCAGCATGCAATAGTGGCGAGTCCAACAAGTCTAGCCTCTTTTCCTTGGCCCGGTCTCTCTTCTTACACTCAATTTCACATTCTCTGTCCTTCCTTTTCTGTCTTTGCTCCTCTGTCTCTCTTATTGTAAACCTTTTCCGCCACGGCTACTAGATCCCTAATAGACTTCACCAAATCTGTCTAGAGCCTGCAACTTTCGCTTTATGTCTGGTGCAGCTTGATTTACATAGGCAAACATAATCATCTGAGCCGACTCCTGGGTCTCAAGATCATACGGGGTATCATTGACTAAAAGCTTCCATGGGCCACTCAAGATATGCTGCCAGACTTTCACTTCCTCCCTGTCTAACATCATAAACTTTGGCCATATCAGTAGGTCAGCGAGCCGCCGCCTTGAGACCTGGCGATAGACGAGGAGTCGCTCCCTACCTTCAACCGTCTCAGGAAAATAGGCAGCGATCTAGGCAGGATCCGTAATGGCGCTCCTGTGGGGCCAGGGATACGTTTCTGCGCCACCTCTCGGATATGGTCTCTCTCTTTGGTGGTAAAAACGACCTGTAAAAGCTGACTGCAATCATCCCAAGTGGGCTGATGAGTAACAAGAATAGTTTCAAGCAAATGAATTAAATCCTGGGGTTTCTCAGAAAAGGGGACATTTTGGGTGTGCCAATTGTATAGATCACTGGTATAAAATGGCCAATATTGGAGTTGCTGTTGACCATCCGCATTCACAGGACCTACGACGCATAAGGGAAAAACAGCTGCATTAGAAGGGGTGTTGATCCCACGGCGTCGGTGAGTGACTGGCCCCTCAGAAAGTTTAAGGGCAGGTGCCGAGGGTTTGGCTGCTGGTTCTATAGCTCCCTCCTCCTCTTGATCATTCTCAGGTTCTGCAAAAGGAACCTGGGAAGGGGAGTATGGGGGAGGAAACATTTCTTCTTCCAAGTTATCCTCCTGAAAAACCGGGGGGTACAATTTCTTTTCCTCTTTCTTAGTTTCTTTTTGTAAGTCTAGGGGGCTAGATGGAGTGTTGCCCATGGTTTCCAGTCCCATCAGTACAGTCCAAAAAAACAAACAGTACAAACAAAACACACACAGGCCTGACAGTTACGAAGTGGAGATCTCCCAAATTGGTCCACTGACTCCTGTCACGGTGGGGGTTCCACACCGACCCACGCCCCCACAGCAGAAGGAGCGGACCCACAGTGGGCAAGTTGGGCCTCGGTTAGGAGGGCCTCTTGGTCAGTTCCAGCCCAACACCGAACCGACCCACGCCCCACAATTCTCACGGCGGGGTTCCAAGGACCCCCGCCCCACAATTCACACGACAGGGTTCCAAGGACCCCACACACACACAAGAGGATCTGGGACGTCTCCCAGTTCCTCCAGGGTTGTCGTGCAAGTGCGTCTGCTTCGACAACCCTTTACACAATACGAATCGGAGCGGCCGTCCTCAGAAAGGAAAATGAAAGTACAAACAGACAACGACAGGACAAGACAAATTAACAAAGACAGCGCTGTTTTACTTTTGGAGTCTGAGGTCTTGGGGCTCTTTGGAGGGATCCCGGGTGAGCCCCCACTAATATGTTATGCCCAGGTCTCAGGACTCCCACCAAGAAGACCACCAAGAGTCAGACTTTACAGCTGTTTTAAGGTTTTATTAGACGGGCTGCAGCTTGGGCCTCGTCCTACACGTCCTATACTCCGACACAGCGGAGCCTAGGAGGAGAGCCCTGAGCTAAACATTTGCAGGGCTTATAAAGGCACTCAACCAACCAGGTGTTTGGACCACCACGTTGTTGCTCTGCTAAACAGAATTTGCTGATCTTAGGTTTAAACAAGCAACAAGTGGTCACTGCCTCAAGTACTTTAACCCTTCATTACAACTCTGAGACCCAGGGTTCTACAACTCCTGAGAAGTTATGTTGAGTTGACATCTATGTGTTCTGATTAGGAAATCACAACAAAGTTCAGAAGTCATGTCAAAATTATGGCAGTATTTTTATCAAGCTAGTCTGAATATGAATCTTGGAGTTCGTTCAGAATCCCTGGAAATTTTTTTCATTAGCTTTCATTTCATTTTCATTTTAGTTTCATTTTCATTGGTTCAAGCAAATATAATATAAGGAAGTTTTGAGATTTGAAAATATTGGTTATTTTATAAGAAGTTCAAATACACAAAAGGGCCAATGCATAAAATTCTTTTTGTCTTTTCTTTCTTTTTCTTTTTTTTTTTTTTTTTTGTTGTTCATAGGGATTGAACACTGGGTCTGGGTGATTTTTGCTCGAAGCTAGCACTCTACTACTTTAAGCCACAGCACCATCTCTAGTTTTCTGGAGATAAGAGTCTCACAGATATTTTTAAAAAGCAGTTTAGTTGAAAAGCACATTATATTGAATTACTTCTCATTAAAAATTAATGATCAATGAAAAAAAAAAAAGAGTCTCACAGACTTTCCTGCCTGGGCAGACTCTGACGCATGATTCTCAGATCTCAGACCTCCTGAGTAGCTAGGATTACAGGCTTGAGCCACGAGCACCCAACTTGGAAATTCTTTTTTTTTTTTTTTGGGTCCGGTCATGGGGCCTGAACTCTGGGCCTGGGCACTGTCCCTCAGCTCTTCAGCTCAAGGCTAGTGCTCTACCACTTGAGCCACAGCGCCACTTCTGGCTTTTTTCTTTTTGCTTATGTGGTGCTGAGGAATCAAACCCAGGGCCTTGAGCATGCAAGGCAAGCGCTCTACCACTGAGCCACCTTCCCAGCCCCTGGAAATTCTTTATATTATGAATGAAAGAAAATATGGTACACAAATCAATAATTATTTTGATTATTAAAACCAAAGTAAACAAAGTATCTGCCCAGTCTTTGTGGGTATCCAGTTCTGTCTGGTTCTGTTTTAAAGGCCTTTCCTTGGGGATGATTCTTGGAAGTTAGTGCCTCAGAAGGAAAGAGGACAATGCCTGTCCTACCTGTGCAAGTGAAAAGCTTCTAAAGCTGTGGCAAGGCAGGAAGTCCACGCTCAGGGGCAGAAGGAGCTGCCCACAGAACTTGGAGCCTGAAAGGAGCAGCAGCCACAAGCTCCTTGCTTCCGGCCAGGCTCCTGTGGCACCAGGCCAAAGTCCCTGCTGCCCACTGGCAGTTCTAAAGATTCTGCAAGTTGTTAGCTCTGACATGACCTACACCTCGGCAATGCTTTGTTTTTCCTTCCAGAAAAGATCACAGAGTTCTCCATAATGGGAGAGAATGGGGCCAGGGAGTGGAACATCCTCAAGAACATCCTCACTGCCCCCTCAGCCTATTGTGGAAACCCCAAGAAAGTCTCTGGAACAACACAGCTGTTACCCTTGATTCTGATTTTCATGCTCCAGAAAAGACAATGTGGGCCCTGAGGCCGCCCTGGGGCGAGCGGCGGAGGCAGTGGCCCCTCCGCGGGGCGTTCGCGGCCCCCAGCGTCCGCTTCGCCAGTCTGGAGGCGGCCTCCGGGCCCGAGGACAGCGGAGGTGGCGGGCCAGGGAGGAGCAGCGGACCTCATCTCGTCCTCGCCGGCGCCCGGGCGGGCGGAGGCCCGTGGCCATGGACGACAGCAGGGTGGTAGGTGGCAAAGTGAAGAAGCCAGGCAAGCGGGGCCGGAAGCCAGCCAAAATTGACCTGAAAGCCCAACTGGAGAGGAGCCGGCAGAGTGCCCGGGAGTGCCGTGTCCGGAAGAAGCTCAGATACCAATACCTGGAGGAGCTGGTGTCTAGCCGAGAGCGGGCCATAAGTGCCCTCCGAGAGGAGCTGGACTTGTACAAGCAGTGGTGCGTGGCCATGGACCAAGGGAAAATCCCTTCTGAGATCAAGGCCCCGCTCACTGCAGAAGAGCAGAGCAAATCTCAGCAGAGCACCAGCAGGCTCGGCAAGACCGGCAAGGCAGATGCCGCCAGCAATTCCTGGCCGTGCTGGAGACAGAATGGAGATGGCTGACCGTGCTCAAGGATGCGGCTGCTGATTTAAACACGGCTTCGGAGTGTCCACTGGTCGACTGTGGTCTGTTCTTGTTCCTCTGTGCTGGATTTAGTCCCCTTTGACAGCCCGGAGTCCTTTCAAAGCAAACATTCCAAAGTGAGCGTCGAGGAGCCCCTATCTGGTGGTCCCTGTGCCTGGTGCATGATTTATTTGACTTTTTCCACTTGGTATTTTGGACCTGATCAGACCAAGAGACTCTCCTGGGCTTGAAAAAGGAGTTCGGATTGCCGTGGGAATGGTGCTGGCCGCGCACGTTGGCAGCCTGGAAGCATGTGCTCCCTTTGATCGAAGCCATGGGCCCTGCCTCCCCCTGCACCTTTCCCTTCTTCCTTCCCTCCCTCCTTCCCCTCCCTGCTTCTCTCTTCCTCTCTCTGTGCAGGGCATGTGAGGGAGTGCCCCTGCCTGTCCACTGGGGCTGACCACCACTGAGCACAGCCCCCATCCCGCCCCATAGAGAAAGCAGAGAAGTGGGGAGGCGTGGTGTGCATCCCAGAGACCTGCCAGAATTTCAGCATCGGCTCCCCAGCATGGACCAGCAGGGAGTGCAGCCCCCCAGGCTGGGCCAGGGCGTAGGGCCCAGGTGAAGTCAGAAATCTTTCTCTTCTGTCTAAATCACAACTATCACTGTTTGCCAACTAATTGACTAAACTCAGCATCACCAGTTAGAGTTTTATTTTATCCTATCATCTTTGAATTATGATAGATTTGATTTGGCTAATTACAGAAAGTATAGGTTTAAACTGGACTTAACCTCTAGTTAAAGGCAAATAAAACTTTAAAACATAAGTGCTGTATTTCACAAATCAGCTGCGTAATATCAATTACCTCTTTAGTTCTCGAAAGGACGACGACGATTAAGCCACATGGTATTTGGGGCATTGAAGGATTTTTCTTTTCCTGAAGAGCATTGTGCAATTATATTTTTTTTTTTTTTTTGCCAGTCATGGGGCCTGAACTCTGGGCCTGGACACTGTCCCTCAGCTCTTCAGCTCAAGGCTAGTGCTATACCACTGGAGCCACAGCGCCACTTCCGGCTTTTTCTGCTTATGTGGTGCTGAGGAATCGAACCCAGGGCCTCATGCATGTGAGGCAAGCGCTCTACCACTGAGCCACCTTCCCAGCCCCTGCAATTATATTTTTATGAGAAATAAAGTATCTTCGCCAGAAAAAAAAAAAGACAATATGTTTCTAACATGTAACCTAAATCTGTCAAAAGAAAGAAAGAAAGAGAAAGAAAGAAAGAGAAAGAAAGAAAACAGCAGAAATCAGAGACAAGAATCATATTTTGCTTTTTTTGGGTTTTTTTGGTTTTTGGATCCGGTCATGGGGCCTGAACTCTGAGTCTGGGCACTGTCCCTCAGCTCTTCAGCTCAAGGCTAGCGTTCTACCACTTGAGCCACAGCGCCATTTCCAGCTTTTTTTTTTTTTTTTTTGCTTATGTGGTGCTGAGGAATCGAACCCAGGGCCTCATGCATGCAAGGCAAGCGCTCTACCACTGAGCTACCTTCCCAGCCCCTCGTATTTTGTTTAAAAAAGGAAAAATTATAGACTAATCTCACAATCAAACATGCAAAACTAAATAGAACATTAACTAATCAAATCCTTAAGCTTCCACTTTAAAAAAATACATCATGACCAAGTTAAATTTATCACAGGAATTCAAAGATGGCCTAATATTTGAAAAGCTGCTTATATAACTCATACCTAGAGGTTCATGGGGAGACTTCAGGCTGGGGCTCAGTGGTAGAGTGTGAGATCAGAAGCAGGGTTTCACACTTCACTTGGCCTGAGCAAGAAAGTCTGCAAGACTCTTTATCTCTAATAAACTACAAAAAAAAAAAAAATCCAGAAGTAGAGCTGTGGTTCAAATGGTAGAGTACAAAAGGTCAGGGACAACACCCAAGCCTTAAATTCAAGCCCAGGACACAAAAAAGGAAAGATGGAGAAGGAAGGAAAGAAAGGAGAGAGAGAGAGAGAGAAAGAAAATGAAAGAAACAAAGGAAGGAAGGAAGGGAGGGAGGGAGGGAAGGAAGGAAGGAAAGAAAGAAAGAAAAAAGAAAGAAAGAAAGATGGAGGGAGGGAGGGAGGGAAGAAAAGGAAGGAAGGAAGAAGGAAAGGAAGAATAAGAAATGAAAAAACGGGGATGGAACTCTCATGAGAGGATTCAGGAAGTCCCCTCAAAAGTGGGCTAGTTATCACAATAGCAGGTTATAGCTGGCTTTCTCCCTTGCCATATGATCCTGCTCTCTCTTCCACAAGTGCCTGCTTGCTTTTTTGCACTGAGGCTCTCTCCAGAAGCTGAGCACTTGCCAATACAAAAGGCTTGGATTTCGGAACTAGATATTAAGATAGACCTGTTTCCTTTCTTTTCTTTTTTTGGGTCCAGCTGTGGGGCTTGAACTCTAGGCCTGGGAGCTGTCCATCAGCTCTTCAGCTCAAGGCTAGTGCTCTACCACTTGAGCCACAGCACCACTTCCAGCTTTTTTCTTTTTGCTTATGTGGTGCTGAGGAACCGAACCCAGGGCCTCATGCATGCAAGTCAAGCGCTCTACCACTGAGCCACCTTCCCAGCCCCGACCTGTTTCCTTTATAAGTATCCCAGTCTCACGTACTTTGTATAAGCAACACAAAATGTACCAATGCACTTCATAGTACATTTAAATTTGATAAATATGTAAAAATATGTATGAAGACTGATTAAAAAAGAAAACCTCTGCAGATGGAATGAAGGAAGTGAGAGTGTGTGTCTTAATCTGTTCTGTTCTACTACAACAGAATACAACTTATAAAGAACAAGAATTTGTTCTCATAGTTCTGACGTCTGGAAAGCCCAAGAGCAAGATGCTGGTATCTGATGTGCATCTTCTTACTGCTTCTTCACATGGTAGAAGGGAAAGAGAGAACAAATCTTGGATCCTTATATGTAGAAGGATAGAGTACAAACTACTCTCATAATCCTTACATAACAGCATTAGGCTTCACCTGGCAACACTGCATTGGAAATTAAGTTTCTAGCAGGTGAACTTACAAAAGCCATAGTACTAGCAGGGCGCGGGTGGCTCATGCCTGTAATCCTAGCTACTCAGTAGGTTGAGATCTGAGGATCATGGTTCAAAGCCAGGAAAGTCCTGTGAGACTCTTATCTCCAATAAAACCACAGAAAGCCAGAAGTGGTGCTGTGGCTCAAGCAGTAGAGCACTCTCCTTGAGCTGAAGAGTGCAAGGACAGTGCCCAGGCCCAAAGTTCAAGCCCCACGATCAAAAAAAAAAAAAAAAAGCTATAGTACTGTGTGAAATGACCAAAGTGCTACAATTTTTTTTTTTTTTTGGTCGTTCGTAGGGCTTGAACTCTGGGCTTGGGCGCTGTCCCTGTGCTCTTCAGCTCAAGGCTAGTGCTCTACCACTTGAGCCACAGTGCCACTTCTGGTTTTCTAGTGGTTTATTGGAGATAATTATCTCACAGAGCCTGGTGCCAGTGGCTCAAGCCTGTAATCGTAGCTACTCAAGAGGCTGAGATCTGAGGATCATGGTTCAAAGCCAGCCCAGGCAGGAAAGTCCGTGAGACTCTTTTTTTTTTTTTTTGGGGGGGGGGGTCTGGGCCTGGGTTCTGTCCCTCAGCTCTTCAGCGCAAGGCTAGTGCTCTACCACTTGAGTCCAGCGCCACTTCCGGCTTTTTTCTTTTTGTTTATGTGGTGCTGAGGAATCGAACCCAGGGCCTCAGGCATGCAAAGCAAGGGCTCTACCACTGAGCCACCTTCCCCGGGAGACTCTGATCTCCAATAAACCACTAGAAAACCGGAAGTGGCACTGTGGCTCAAGCGGTAGAGTGCTTGCCTTGAGCTAGAGAGTGCAGGGACAGCACCCAGGCCCAGAGTTCAAGCCCCACAACCGACCAAAAAAAAAGAAGAAGAAGAAATGTAAATCAAATGTGACAATTCGTTCAATCCCATAAGTAATGATTACACAGTATTTTTCTTTTTTTTTTCCGGTCGTGGGGCCTGAACTCTGGGCCTGGGTGCTGTCCCTCAGCTCTTCAGCTCAAGGTTAGCACCCTACCACTTAAGCCACAGCACCATAAGCATTTTCTGCTTATGTGGTGCTGAGGAATTGAACCTAGGCCATGCATGCAAGGCAAGCACTCTATTACTGAGCCACCTTCCCAGCCCCAGTATTTTTCTTATATGCTGTATATTTAATTTTTTATATTTATAGTCATAAATTGTTATTCAAAGTTCTGTCTTAGTTTGTTCCAATACTGCCTAAGAATGGGTTGTTTGATTAAAAGAAATAACCCTAGACGGGTGTCAGTGGCTCAGGCCTGTAATCCTAACCCTGTTGTAGTACACACCCCAATTGGAATCAAAATGGTGAAATTACACCAATGTAGAATTTCAGCTATTGGTCAATACAAAGGCTCCCCCTGCTGGTCGTATTTGTCTCACACTCAAGTTTCAAGTAACTGAAGAGAAATGAAAGTCTTTAAGTTGTTTTTCTTGTTTTTGTTGTTGTTTCCTGAGTGCGAAAGGTTAAAGTAAGAAACCCTGGCCAGGTGCTGGTGGCTCACGCCTGTAATCCTAGTTACTCAGGAGGCTGAGATCTGAGAATCCCAGTCCAAAGCCAACTCAGGCAGAAAAGTCCCTGAGATTCTTATCTCCAATTAACCCTCAGAAAACAGGAAGTGGCACTGTGGATCAAAGTGGTGGAGCACTAACCTTGATCAAAAAAGCTCAGAGGGAGTTCTCAAGATGGCGACGGGGCAGTAGGGAAACGCCACAGCTCTCTCCAACCAAAAAGAGAGTTCGAGTTCCAACCTTTAATCTCCCCAAGAGACCGACAACAACAAAAAGACGAACACTCAGAGAAAAACCAGAGGTGGAAAATAACAAAAAAAGAAAGAGAGGAAAAGAAGAATTTCAGAACAGAGAAGAGCGAAGACCCCTCCCCCAACCTTTACTGGCC